GTGGGGCTGCCGGGATTAGAACTGGCGCCCATATGGGATCCCGGGCGTGCAGGGTGAGGACCTTAACCACTTGCGCCACCGCGCCGGGCCCGCATTTTATGCTTCTTAAATTATTTCTGCTGGTGTCTCCTGTCTATGATGCTATTGAAATAATTGAGAATTGAGAATTTTCTACTGGCCACAAATTTGAGCATTCTACTCAAAACATTGATAATAAGAAAAATTAGTGACTTAAATAAAATGATCATTTTCTTTTTCCATTTCAGACCTAGTCTAGTGAAAGCAAACTGGTTAAACAGAATTCTTAAGTAAATATATGGCTTGAATTTTATTTTTTATTTACTTACTTACTTGAGAGGCGGAGAGAGACAAAAGCAGAACCAGATCACCCATTTGCTAGTTCACTCCTGAAATGTCCTGTGTGGTTGCAAGGATCCAAGTATTTGAACTGTTGCCTGTTGAGTCCCAGGATCTTCATTATCTAGCAACTGGAATCTGAAGTGTAGCTAACATTCCAACCCAAGTCCTCTGACGTGAGGAGACACAGGCATCCCTAGTGCTTGGCCTTAACCCACCCCGTACGTAATTTTTCATAGTGTGAGTTTCATTGTGTTCAATATTATGTTACTGAGTCTCATCCAGGTCATTTGCAACGTAAACGCCATTTATTTTTCTTGGCTACTTTATCCATCCAACAACAGAAGGACATGTGTGTTGTTTCCATATCGCTCTTTCAAACAATATGCTGCTAAACTTTGCTGAGAGTCTCTAATACAATGGTATGGAGGCATTCTTTGAAACTGGGAATTAAGTTATGGGCATATAAATTGTTTTTCAGGCAGTGTGTGGGAAAGACAAAGTTTTTCTCCTTTTGCTCCTCAGAAAGTGATACCCGGGAACTTGCTCAAGCTACAAGTTCTGATCTTTCACTTCCTTAGTAACAATCTTCCTCTACTTCACAAAAGACATACTTATCACTTTATTCTGGCCATAAAATCCTCTAGAGTACTAAACAAAGGGCAATTTGAAGTAGTCATATTTTTCTAGGATGATGCTGAGAAAGTGAATTATATGAATACCAGGTTTTTGGTCAAATTATGACCATTCAAGATTCATCTGCTGATGTCCCAATGTCTGGCACCTAAGTTTATGACTTCATTTGAAGACAGAATCTGTTAATTGGGTTAAAATGAGTTCTCTGGAGGGGGCACTAACCCAACATGACAGGTGTTCATATAAGAGGAGGAGCGGTAGACACACATATGCTCATAGAGGGAACACAGGGATGACACAGGTGGCCAATTATACACCCAAGATAGACGCCACACAAGAAGCCAGCCTTGCTGACACGTTCATCTTAGACTTGTTAGCCTCCAAAATGGAGAGGAATTAAATTTTGATTATTTATTCCACTCACCCTGTGGTATTTATTAAAACTATGATTAGTAAATCGATACATGGGTGCAACAAGTTCTTTCACAGTCAGATGACTTCAGTCCTTTGAAGAGTATTGAAAAAAAACGTAATGCGATCGTGTGCAGATTGATCATTTCAGATAATTTTTTAGTGATAGATATTTATGTGATTTTGGCATACATCTGCTAATTAATCCAAAGTGATATGTGATATTGTAATAGACACATCTCTCTTAGCAACATCTTATTGATATGAGGAGATATTCTTGGTGTTTATATATATTTAAAGCACAAAAAATATATAATGTAATATAAAATAAACATTGTTTTATCTTCAAATCTAGTGAAACCCATTATTTATCTGCAGATTAGCTAGGGAGTCATCTAAATTGTCCTTTTATTAGTATCGTGTTAAGCAGTACCTACCACATTGGAAAGTACATTTTATGTTGTCTTGAGAATCATGCACTTATTATTTCTAAAGATAATTCAAACGCCACAGGAAATGTGTTTTAATTAGTAAACTTATTTTTATTTTAGAGAACAAATTTTTAAAAATATTTATACTTGTAGTTACAGAAAATTTAAAAAATGAATCTATAATTTTATTTTTATTGTAGGAGGTATTAAAGATTCTCAAGTTTGAAACATATTGGATGAAAATCAAACTCAATATAAAATGTAGTTTTTAAGAAGACAGAGACACAAGGGAAAAGTCACATGGAAACAACTTCATTTTGTTGAAGATTCTATTTTACTGTTTTATAACTAAGTGAGTGTCAAATGACTATGCTATTTGTGTTCTATTGGAAACAGTTAACAAGATGATGTAGTAGCTTTATTTTGAAAGATCACAATTTACCACATAGTGGTGTTTATGTAATTTTCAGCTTCTGAAACTTAGGATGAAAAATTTGGATGGTACGTCAAAATTTGGTAAGGTAGTATTTTAAAATAATCTTTAGCAAAAGCATTTGAAGAACTCTGATAACTAAAAATAGGGTTACTGGCTCAAAAGATGTGCTTATCATCAACTTTCCAAAATAATACCAGACTGCAGATACACACGTTGGCACTTCGAGGTAATTTTTCCTTTATATCCTCACCAATTCTTATAATTATATTTTTCACAAATATAGGTTTATATTCATTGATATCTTCCTGTGTGTTCAATGTGCATTTTTTTAATTACTAGATTGTCTTTTCAGATGAGAATGAGAGAGAGAGAGAATCTTTCATCTTCTGGTTTACTGTCCAAATGGCCTCAATGGCTGGGTTGGGTCACACTGAAGCCAGTCAGCAGGAGTTCCATTTGTACCTCCACATAGACAGCAGAAGTGTAAATGGGCCATCTCTTGCTGCTTTCCGAGGTGTATTAAAAGGGAGCTAGATTGGAAGTAGAAGAGCTTGATTCTAGTGGGCACTCTAGTATGGGATGCCAGCCTTTGCAAGTAGTGACTTAACCCATTCTGTGAAATTGTCAATCCTTTTGAGTTTTAGTACTTCTCATAGGATTATTTGATAAACACATGTATCAATGCATATTTATATTTTATGTGAGACAATCTGCCCAAAGTTATAAAAATTCCATTTTCCTCCAAGTTTTCCTTTTCTGTTTAATCAATCTCTGATATATATGATGTATATATATGTAATTATGACATAGCTATACACATGAATATATGCATTCACTTTCATTTTTACCATGTAAACAATGGGGTAGTACCAATTTTGAAAACCCTACCCTTTTATTCACTGATTCAAAAATGCTCGCTCTACCATGAATCAGCTTTTTGTGTATGTATTGTTCTATATCTGGACTGCTCTATTGAGTTATCTTGGCTAACTTCTCTTTCCTCATATTGGCAGCTCACCAAGTCCATCTTTTTTCTGGGCATATCACTCTATCACCTTTCCCAGACTCTCTTGTGATTAAACAGGACCACAATCTGGGCTCCATGTGAATAGAGCTGGAAGCTGCTTGTACTTTCTCTGTGTTTGGCTCCTAAGTTTTCCTGTAGGTTTTGTTATCATCTCTTTCTTTGCCATGGCAAATGCAAAGGATGCAGTGAAGTACTCTGAGCCTCTAATCAATGGCAGAGTCTAGATCAGGAGTCCAGGTCATGTACCCTTCCCTCCCCTCAAGCTACCAGAATCTTATTATGTGAAATAATACAGGTAATTGTTTAGCTCTTTGAAACACAGTAGCATTAAGCTTTACCTAATCAGTTTTGTGGTTCTTTTTTTTTCAGTAGTGATTTCCAAAATAACTCAAATTATTAACACCTTCGTATAACAACCATTACTATAGTGAAAAAAATCTGGCGTCAACTACTCTTGATTAACAGATGAGTACATGCAATAAGTATACATCAAAATGTGGCGGAACAGACTTTGTCTAAAGGGGGTATCTGTTTTGTCATTTTCCTCAAAAAGTCATAATATATTTTAGGATGATTATTGCATACATTCAGAGAAAGTGAAGATGACAAGCATCTTAAAAATATGCAATGGTTTATTGTCAAAAATAGACAAACTTTAATTTCCTTTAACAGGAATATTAACTTAAAGGCCTCCACCAGTATTAATCATTATTTTGTAAGTATTTTAGATCAGGAAGAGAGTCAGACACAAATGTTAGAGGGAAGAAGACAATAGTTACATGCTGTGCCCAAAAAAGCTGTGCCGGCAGTCAGCGCTGGTGACATGAAAACACCCACAAGGAACACCGTGATCTTTCAGCCCTTAACCAGTACGTGACAGGCAACATCCTTGCAGTGTCCTACGAAGACTGGCTTTGGAGTACCTTTCCAAGCCCCTGAAGAGTTCAATTTGCTAGCACATTTACTAATGTGAACAGTGACATTTTGTCACTTCTAGTATCAGTAAGAGGATCACACTCCTTTTGAGTAACACCAGGATGTCGCCATCTGTCCTTACCACTCTAGCATGTGACCTGGTACTCATGGTTTGGACAGGAGTCCTGAATCAGCTCTTTAGCCATCACTCATATAACAAGACTTTGTGAAGGTCTTGCTAAATAGAACACTGACGTGTGGAGGCTAATTTTTGTCACTAACATAGACATGAAATGCAGAATCTTCTAGATACTTGGAGTGAGATCACAAAAACTCTCTTTGATTCCCTGGGAACTGGTGTCCATGGTGGAAGACAGTTGGATATATGCACTCACTCATTCTCCAGACCATGATTTTCACTCCACTGTGTACCATTAAAAAAACAAAAAGAGACAAAAACAGACTTTGTGATGACTCCATGCTGATGATTAAATGTGGTTGTGTGCAGCTATATATTATGAGGACTGCAGTTAAAACAAAACAAAACCCCCCTCAATTTTCAGTAAAAGGCCAGAGATAAGATAACCTTGATGTGGAGGCAAGGTTCATCTGAGATTAAGCACGTGCAGTATTGAAACAAAACTGCATTAGCCAATGAACAAGAAAGGGACTGGATCAGAGAGCTTATTTCTCATCCTTGTTGGCATTCCTCATTCACCCAATGGAACAGTGATCAATGACATATGAACAAATAGATTCAACACGCTCTGTTTTTCTAAAGACAACATTTGATACTCAAGGACTAGGAATCTGAGTTAACACTGTACCACAAAGTCATTGAAGCAACATGGCAGTTCCAGCTTCTGTTGCCTCTTTAAAACAGAGGCATCGAAGATATCACCACTGAAGCAGCGTTGCAATTGCTGTAGCATTTCTTACCCACTTTCACCTAGGCTTCAGTATTCATTAAGCTCACCTGCTGAATTCTATGCTCCTGTCTAAGTATCCTTCAAAGTTGAGTAGAAAATTGTCAGGAAATGATAAGCATATGGGTTCTAGGCAAGTCTAATGGGTGAAGAAGCATCATCTAGCAAGATTTTGTGATTGATAGGATCACTTGACATCTCAGAGGAAAAAGAAACTCTGAAAGGCAAATAAGGCAAATTTGGTTTCCAGGGTCTATCAGCAAAACTACCTGGAAAAGCTGGTGGACTCCAACACAAAGCTGAACTGGATTGCTTCTCTCCCTCCCTTACTCCTATCCAGAAAAACAGAATCTATTCAGAAAATATAACCTTTCCTCAGTCATTTTTAAAAGTTACAAAAATCATCCCTTTCCTTGGGATTGCTATAAATATGAAAAACAAAAACAAAAACCAAACAGAAAAATAGTGGGCAATTTTTTTTTTTAGACCAGTCAGGGAAAGCTACAAGGGGTTTTAACTTAATAGCTGCACAGTTTTATTACCCAATCATAAAGACCTTTAAAAACCAATCCTTGTTAGCACTCTTCAATGACTGTCGTTCCAATCAGTGAGTAGAGCTTTTTTTTAACAAGTCGAAATCCGGAGCTGAGGATCAAAGTTCGCTTAAGTCCAGATGAGAAGCGACCTCTACTGAAGAAAAAGTCCCTAAAGCTAGTCCATGAGCAGTTCTCCTGCTTAAACACAAGAGTCAGTTCAAAGGTAGGCACCACGCTAGAATCACACACAATCCTATCCAACTTCTTACACACACTTTCAACTTCCAGGTTCACATGCATTACACACCCTCGGAGGCCACAGGGCTCTGTGGAGGAGAGGCGCAGGACGTCCTGAGCGATCCTCTGGGTCAGTTTCTCAGGAACAAGGACCTTGGAGCAGCCCAGTTTGGTCTGTTTTGATTTGGATAGACAGTTCTCCAGCATTTTAACCAAATTCTGGCAGGTCGTCTCCTCAAATACCACCTCGTTGAGATTGGGTTCAGGAACAACATAATCCCAGTAGTCAAAATCTGTAGAAATGCAAAGTTCCAATTAATAACAGTAACAAAAATATATCAAGAGAATTACACTATATAGTTTTATTTACCCTGTTTCTAATATGAAGAGTCTTCATAAAGTTCATGGAAAAGATGACAGCTGTGCATAGTTTAGAAGTTTTCTACACCAAATACACCTTACTGTGCATTCCTGTTACCTAAGAAGTTTCTCAGTATGCCCATTGTCTGTTGATCTCCCTTTGCTTTTAAGTAACTCAGTTAATACAGCCAATCACTTAACTTCTTGCGACTGAAAACTCATCTACAAAATAAAGGTTTTGATAGGTAGTGTGGACAGGACATAAGCACTTGTCTTGATATGTATATGTGTGTCCATTTGTGATCTCAAAGACTGTGCATTAAAAATTATGATCCCAGATTACAAGTGATTTTCTTCTTGTATGTGCGAACTTTTTATGGGGATTTTCCATTTTGGTAATTTTTTTCCCTAACTCTAGGTATACATGTATCATAAAACAAAATTTCTGCTACTGTTCTTAAGTGAGTCTACCCTGAGCTGGAGGATTTATCAAATTTATGTTTTTCTTTAAAAGTCTTTATTGAAGTGGCTTGCGATTTTAGCTCCCATCGTTTTATTAAAGTTTGCTCAGAGATGACCTTTGAGGTTCCTGAGGTTATTTATAACTGACTGTGTAGCTTTTCTTAGCCAAGCAAAACCAAATGGACAAGGGAAACAAAATTAGATTTGCTCAAAGGAAAGGAGATAGCTCTGCATTTGGTCACCTACCTCCCAAATTAATCCTACAACTTGGCAGGATGTCACAGCACACACATCAATGGAACAGGGTGCAGCAGATGCCCCTGCTGGCTGCCCGCCCCAAACCTTCTTCACCCTCACTTGCTCCCCGCTCACTGCAGGTGCTCACTTAGTTCACTGCTTTTTACATCTGGGTAAAATAAACACATCCCAAAATGACAAGAGCTGAGCATGTTCCTCTATGTGGAAGAGAGGGTATGTTAGAGTTTTGATTCGTGAAATCAAGTTGTCACTTTACTATCTAAATGAAGTAGGCATGGCTCCTATGCTCACACAACTCCTGGTTAAGTTAGACACTACTACCAAATCGACAAGTAACCCAATACCATTGCTGTTGAATAAATTTTCTTCCAGCATTAAAAATGGAGAAATGAGTATACCCACAAGTAGAATCCTACTCAGTAATAAAAAGAGACACACTGATGGAACAACATGGAAAGATTTCAACAACTCAAGACTGCAGGAGTGAAACTAGACAGCAGTAAAAACATAAATTGTATGATTCTGTGTGTAGAAAACGCAAGGCAAAACATTCATAGTGACAAAGTCATGCCAAAAGGGTAGAGAGGATTCTTGGTGGAGGGGGTTCTCATGTTGGGTACATGGCTGAATACATTTGCTAAAACTCAAAGAATTTGTATACTTAGCTTCACAGCTGTGTCGACCAAGGAGCTCCATCCCCATGCACCTATCAGCAGCGGGTTAGAATAGTACTGCTCTCAGGGACTTGTTTCTCACTGTCCTGGGCGGAAGATGCTCCAAAGTTCGGAAAGGACTTCAAATGGATTTGGGGACAGGGCACGGTCTCCTTTGAGGAAGGATGCGAAGTCGCAGGGCACAAGACCAGAACCATGGAGCAGCTGGAAGGGAGAAGGGTGGCAGCCAGGAACTCACCACTCAGTAGGCTTCCCGGATGGTAGCCACAGTCCAGCAACTCTGAAATGCTGGCCGGGTTCTTACTGTTCAGACTGCCGGTTGCAACCATAGTCAACGGCTCTGTTTCCCTCGCGGGACGGAACGGCCTTTCCAAGGCGCTGGGGGAGGAAAAAAAGAAAAAGAGGCAAGAAGAACTGATTTGCAAAATCAGGCCAGACGTGCAGAGGTTTCTAAAAACGCCTGTTGTCCTTCAGGGAACTAGCCCCAGCAGTTTTTTTTTCAAAGGGGAGAAATCGGCTGCAGCAATTTCTTTCCAAGTCTGCGGGGAGCCGGGACGCCAGCTGCGGCCCAGACATAACCGGCAAGTCACTCAAAAGTTAGCAAAACTTGTAGGCGAGTTGCCCCGCTGGGAATGCTCGCCCAATCCCACCCCCACACCGCAAAGGCCGGGGTGTCGCTCACCTGCCTGGAGTTCGCGGGGGGCCGATGCACTCGCCCACAAGGCTGTGAGATCTACAGAGGAAGGCACGCCCCAAGGAGCTCCTTCCCCTGCAATCGCCACGCATCCAGGTGGGCAAAAAGCCTCTGCTCGCTCGCGCCTCGCCCACTCCGCGCAGGTTCCAGCAAGCTGAACCGCCGGTGGGACAGCAAACACTTTATAGGTCCCGCTGTCTGCCCAGGGCCCGACCCGCCCACCTGCGCCGCCCTCCCGGACTGCGCTCCGCCCCGCCGCTCCGGATCCGGTCACATTTCAACCTGGCTGCTTCCCGGGTCCTTGGGCCGGCGGCTGGGAGAGGAGGATAATCCTGGGTTTGAGTGCACACCTGCCTTTTCCTTGGGAGAAATCGTGAGAGGGCGTCCTGACAATCCTTCCTGGTGGCGGACTTGCTACCACCCATGTGCCACTAACCTGGAACCCCGGTCCTTGCTAAAATGCATGCTCACTGCAGCTTCATATTTTTGTGTGTAGGACCAAGGTCTGAAGCTTTATACCCTCAACCCTTGGCTTGGCTCCACCTCCAGTGATTTGGCCTGCAACCCCACTTCCATCCCCACCCCCAACTCCCAGGTTGGATTTCTGTATCCCCCTCTCAGGCATCCAGAGCTCTGCCTTTCCTTTTGCACATCCAAGCCTCTGCAGGGTTTTAGAGGGAGTTCCAAGCACCCGGAGCACTGCTGGCCGCACTTGCATGCTGAGTGCTCTAGCATCTGTGACAAACGCGTTTTCTCTGAGGGAAACTTTTGGAGTCTGGCACTCAGTTCACCTTAAGGCCCGGTCCCTGAGCACGGGAAGCTCGAACGCAAGGGATTCTTGCCAAGAAACTAAACAAAACCGTTAGTGGGACTTTAGCCGCCAGTTCCACCCGCCAACTTCTTGGGAGCGATTGCCATCCCCAGAGGCAGAAGTTCCTGGCAAGTCTTGCTGGAAGGAACTTCGGCCTTGGCCATCTGCGAGGGGATCGGTGATGGTGGTGGTGGTGGGGTGATGAAAAGAGTCTTAAATCCTGTTCGGGGATAATTCCCGGGGCGGCGTCACACATATCCCTGTTTGCCAGCCCACAGAAAGACAGAGGAACTCTGGAAAAAGACCACCTGCTTGCACAACCACAAGAAGCCAAACCTTTTCTTTTTCCCTGCCCAAGCTACAAGGCACTCTTTTCCCGTCTGATTTGGTTTAACAAAGGGAGAGGACTCCAAACGGCCCACACTTCCAAAGACCTCTGCGGGGTGGATGGAGCAGGGTAGGGAGGATCCAGAGGCTGGGAGAGGAGATTCCTGAATGGAGGTTCCGGAGTTAGCTGCGGGGCTGTCAGCATTGCCAGGTGAAGGCCTTGAAAGGCAGGCTCCGCTGTCCTAGGCTACAACCTCTGGGTGAGAAAAACAACAACAGCAGGGTTGAGGAGCGTGTGATAAACAGATCCGTGGGAGGATGTTCACGGCAGAGCGGCAGAAATTAAAGCCAGCTTGACAGTCCATTTTTAACTCAGGCAGCTGCACTGCCTGAAGGTCACGCCAGTCTGGGAAGCAGAAGCTGATAGGCTGATCTCTGAAAACACATTTCCACTTCAGTAACAGAAAAGTGGAAAACAAACAAGTCCGTGTAAGCCAATGAAAAAGTGGTTTTGGCGGTCAGTGTGTTCAGGGCCAATGGGCAGCTGTCCTGGGCAGGCCCCACGCTCTCATGCCCGAATCCGGGCAGCATTAGGAAGGAGGCGCCTCTTACCTGCCTCCAAGGTGAGTGGTTAGGACTAAGATAATGAGTGAGTTACAGATTATCTAGTGAAATACAGATTATCCACTCTGGTTCCCTAAGGGAATTAAGGCATAATTCATGAACTGAATATTCCTACTGGGCCAGTAGTGTTATAGAAATTTTTTTGGAAGTCACATTTATTCTTGATTCACCTAACTGGGATTTTGTTTGCCTTTTGAGATTTTCTTGCAGGAAACAATTTGCTTATGTACAAGACTTTGAATACCATGCTTTCTGGCTGAATGAGCCTTGTTCCCAGGAATTATAAGACAGAAGGAATAATTGGTATAAGACTGGAATAATTAGCCGAGGTCATCTTCTTTTTAAAATCTACTCTGTTGTTGTGTTTTCCTCTTTTACCTTTTAAAGTCTGAAAAATAATTACATTCTACTACCTGTTTGCGTCTTTCCAGAGCTGCTCAAAGCTAATTTTAAAAAAGTGAAGCGGTGAACAAAATTGGCGAAAAGAAAGTTCGTCGTCTGAATTTTGAATGTGTTGTGGATGTAGTCAGTTGATCACATTGCTGCACTGCTGTTTGTTAGGTGCAATGATAAAGTTTTGTTGCTGTTTCAGACTCTCTCCTTAGCTGATATGATAAAAATAATTTGCGCACACACTTCCTGGAAGAATGGTATGTATGAGTAGAACATATAATTGGTTAAATAGCTTTATCCTCATTTATACTCCAGTGCATTCTAGTAAATTAGCAGAATCATAAGCTAAGCCATTAATATAGTGTATTTGCCTTTTGGTTGTCATGATTTCCTTATTCATCTTTTTGCAAAAGGGAAAGGAAAAAGCAGTAAAATGGCAACAGTGTACTTATCTGATGTAAATGTGAACATTTAGGTTGTAGGTTCCCTCATGTAGAAATATGCTGTTTATAACATTGCTCACATAGAATGTAAACTCAAAATAATAAGGAAATTGCAGAACACTGAAATGCTGTTTTAATTTCTTATTATAGGAAATGATGATGTTTCGTGCATTTGTCAATTGGAGCACAATTAAGCTATATTCCACCAACCAATTTTTCTTTTAATCTTGTAGAAGTTGTTGTTCCTAAACTCTATTGAATGTATTTACATTCAGGACATTGATAATTTCATTTCGTACCCTGTGACACCTGTGGAAAAGTTATTTGGTTTCCTAATTTGTACAGTGGATCTTGGGAGAAAATATTTGACCCAGAAGGTGATCTGTATAGCATCAGGGTCCTTTTTGATACAATTTCTATAAGGATTAAAGGAGAAACTCTTGTTACAAGAGTGCTTCTAGAAGGTTCGTGGAAATGTGTAGCCTGGAAAAAAAGTGTGGATCTCAAAAAGCTTTTACACTGAAATAAAGTTCCATTTTAATTAAAAGTTTCACAAACTTTTCAAAATGCCCCATGTGATAAATGATAAACATCACTTCTTTAATAAAGAAATGCGTGATCTTAAAAAACACGCTGTATCTGGCCTTCTTTGGTTGAATTAAATTTGCAAATTTTGTGCCCACATGAAGTGCTTAGAATAAGACCTGGTACATAGAAATGCTAAATTATAGTATTACTGCTTTCCTGAAACTGTTGTTTTGAACAAATATGACAAGCAAAGATCTAAGATATTGAAGAAACACTGTTAAATTAGAACAGAATTTACTGTCTTTAGTGTTTTCAGGAAATCTTGAAAACGTTTCTCATTGATAAGAAAGGCTTTAAAAACTAGTGTTATAACACAGCCATCACTGTATGGGAAGGCAGGAAGATCTCCCAATGACACAAAAGAGAAAAATGTGATTGAAGTTACATTTGTATCTTATACAGAGTTATATGGGCTAATTTCCTCCATTAACTAAAGAAATAATTTTTGGAAATGAAATGAAATTTAGTGTCAATTGAAATGATTGAATATAGGACTCCTCACTTATGTCAAGATACGTGTATTGAGTTTTTGGTGAAATATTTCATTACTGTTTTTGTCTTTAAAGATTGTTAGAACCAGTAAGATTTTCATTTAATGATTACATATACAATATGGTTATTCCATAGACTGATGTAGGATTTACCATTAAGTAAGGCAATATGGAGACTTATTCAGCATCAGACAAAGACAAGGCCCAATCTAAAACAACATAACATTTACTGCTAAAGCTCAGAGAATCTTCCAGTATTAGAAGGAATTACCTTCTAAATTTAAGCAGAGAAATGGTTACCTCAGTGACTTATCTCTTAAAATAGTCATATGATTTCATTCTCTTTATAAACAATGCTGTGTATTACTTCTCTTTTTGAAAGTATGTTCAAATGCACACAACATTTGCTTTTCTTTAATTATGAAGAAGATTTAAAATTTTAGTGCTTAGGTTTGCGAATAGCCAGGAGCATGGAGTAGATTTTCAATGTTTCCTGGGGATTCATCCTTACCTCTTTACAAGCCTCAATTTTGAGAATATTATCATGGCATACATTGTTCTGGAATTCCTAAATTGGTGAAGCCAACAGTGAGGAAAAACAGACAAGATGCTCATGTCAGTGTTGTACTCTTCATCCATTCCCCACTCTGTCCCAGGCAACCACCTTTATCAATCACATTTGGCCCCATCAGAATTTCACACTGCCTTGTGGAATATACCTACAGGGTTGCTCAAAAGTGAATGGAATCCACGTATGTCTACATATAGGTTTATGCAGAGCAGTCTTATGAGTTGAGTCTAATCACCTTTATGCAGATGTAAAGCATGTTCAGGCTTAAAAGGTTGACTAAATCAGAGTGACCCAGTGTTGTCACCTGCAGAATGCTATAGTCAGGTGCGTGCACTGTGGGGCTCAAAGGGCTAGATTTGTATTTCAGCAGTGGCACTAATTAGCTATGTAAATTTGGATAAGGTGTTTAATAGTTCTGTGCCACCATTAACAAAAGAA